CAGTCCTCGTATGAGAATCCCCAATTTTGATGAGTATCACAGCAAACGAACGAAAGACTATGATTTGAAGGAGTGTACCTGGAATGATTGGCATATTTAAAAATGAAAGTGAAACCCAGAAAATGTAAAGGATGGGACAATGACAAGGGCGGAAGAGGATAGGTTCTTTTCCATTCTATCTTCATCATTCTTCCATTTATAATGCCACACTGTGATGGTGGTCTTCAGTTTGTCACACAATACACTCGAAAGCACCTGATATGCAATATTTGTTAGGCTAATCCCACAGAGGATGGGGCTATCTGAAGAAGTTCACGGAAGTGAGCAAAGTTTCTGGCTGCCATACACCTGGGAGTGGCCAGAAACTATTGAGTGGCTCAAGCTGCTCAATACTTTTGGTCTAGACTAAGTATCCTCTTGAAAACCAACAAACAATCGTTTGGAGCTAAAGAGCTAAAGTGAGTAGGTGGTAGGGCAAATGTTCTATGGATAACCTGGAATGCCCGGTACCTTCATTGGCAAGGTGTCCCTTTCTGGTGGGCTGATGTTCCATAAGGATAAAGATTGACCTCTGCGTTGTCCAAGACTGCATAGGACCGAAAAAGGACGAAAGAAGGTAGGATCTTGTGAAATCTAGTACAAATTTGGTATCGGATTTCTAGTGGGAGAGAGACTCCGTCGCCGAGTACTGGTATTTACTCCTGTGGACGAACGTATAGCCATGATTCGCAACAAATCGAGTTTCTCAACGTGTCGCTGATACGTGACCACGTCCTGATGGAAAGAAGGACGTTGTCTATGAGAGCCTAGAGCTCAATGTGAAAATTATGCTTAGCGACTTTGACACCAGTATGGACAAAGCAGATTTTCTTTGCACAACAGTCTGGAAATTCGGCCTCCATTACGAAACATTCCCAAACTGTCTGAGGCTGATCGACTTCGCCGGGGCCCGGAGTATAAATGTCTGTGGCAGCAGATTACTAGAGCCCACAGTGAACAAACTGATTGGAGATTATCAGTGTAGTGTAATAGCTGGTCAATGGTTGATGACTAGATATTTAAGCCTTGGCAAAGGCTCGAGAAAAGAGGATTGCGTACACCACGCAACCCTCGACAGCATGAAAAGGAGCTGCCTCTACACAGCTGGAATCCCTGCAAAACTTATGTGGCTATGTGGACTGACCTTGAGCAGCACAAAAAGCTCAGTCAGGATCCGCAAGGATCTCTGCGAACTTTTCGATACCAATATAGGTTTCAGATGAGGTGACTTCTTTAATTTATTGGTAGAGAGAATAATACAAACTGCAAAGGTGAATAGAGGATGTAGAATCTGCTATAAAGGTGTACAGCTGCTGGCATACGCCGATGATATTGAAACGCTCTTGCCAATATGCACTCCATTAGGCAATTGAAAATAAAGTCCACTCTCGACGAACAAAGACCAAACTCTACAAGTACCTGGAGCGTGGATGATCTTGACATCTGATGAGTCGGTTTTAAGAGTATTTGCGAGTAAAAGTAAGGGAAACCGAAAACCGCAGCCGATGGAACGAGTTATACGGTGACATTGATATAGTTCAGCAATTAAAGAGACAGCGGATACGTTACCTAGGTCAAGTGATCGGAATGGTTGAAAACACTCCAGCTTTGAAAGTATTCGTTGCAGTGCTCTACAACGTTAGAAAGATCAGGTACAGGGCGATCTGATTTCTGTTGGTATTTTCATGCACTGACGCTTAAGCGGCGAAGAGAAGAACTTGGTTTATTCAGTTATAATCGCATAAGTGAAGCTCGCGCCAATAATTAGGAAGAAATAGGCTAGTCCCTAGGTGGACAACATTGTACACGATTTCGATGTTAGGGCTGCCAGCAGTGACGATCTAGTCATGTTGCGAATGATGACTTTTTGTTTGATGACAGGAGATATTTCGTCTTGTCCTCGTTCACTATCGGGACAATTCACCTCTTTTCTTTAACAGTTGTAGAGAATTCAAAAGTAAAAGCTTGAATGTTAAGACCTCAGCAATCAATGTCGAAAAGTCTCAGCTAATCAACTCGCGCTCAGAATAAAGTACTTTCCCAGCGTAGGATGACCTGAGAGAAATAAATGATGTGATTGCAGTTAATTCGAGACCATTTTACTACAGTGGACAGAATGTAGTATTTTTTCAGAGATTCTCGCACACTCTCTCTTATTCTCCATCCATGAGAAACAAATCTTAACCTTGGAATATTCTTTGAAATCAATTTATTTATCTCCAATACTTTGATCAAGTTATTTTATAATTTACACAGTTTGGATATTTTCAAAAATGATGCAAGTGAAATTGGTTTTCATCGTTCCTAAAATCGTCAGGATAATGCTCCAGCACAATCCTCTATACTTACCGCATTCCACTGATGAACCCTCCAAATAAGGAAATCATTTCAAGTAAATAAAAAGTCGTTTGGATTTAAATTTTGTTTTGAACATTTAATATTTTTTTATTAATTTATTTCTTTGTTGTTGCCGCTGCTGACGGGTGCGCTTCACACATATTTTGTTTTTTGTTTTTTTTGGAAAATTTATTCATTCTTTTTTCATTGTTTCGCTTCGGTTTTTTGGTTTTCACATGATTTGCGTTTCTCTTGCAGTTATTTAAGTTTTATATATTATAAATTTATATGTTTGCCAGTATGTATACAATTTTTTTTTTCGGATGAACATTTGACGGTATTTTTACATAATTTATTTTTCTTTTCGTTTCTATAAATACGGTTTTTTTTTTAAATTTCCTTTCATAGGTACATTCAGAGATGCACAATTGTATATTTATTGTTGTAATAATTTTGTTGCAAGTAAATATTGTACATACATATTTTTTCTTCGATTGGTTAATTTAACGTATTCTGTTGGGATTTTGTTTTTATTTGGCATTGCGATTTTTGTTTTTGTATTAAATAGCGACAATAAATAATTTTCGTATTCGGTCACAGGGTTTGGTGGAGGAGATGTACATATGTACATATGTATGTATTAAATTTACAATGTGACGTGTGTTTTTGTTTATTTTTTTTTTGAGTATTTAAATTTTTGATCTGATAATTACATGTGTTTAACGGTAATTTAATTTTCATTAATTTTAGGGCATTTACAAAAAATTATTTATTTACTGGACAAAACGGGTGTGTCTGTAATATGTATTTACTTATAATATAAAAACAATTCGGACGTTTAGTGTTGTTATTGCATTTTATTGATTTTTTTTTTTTGAATTTTACTTTCTTTAGTTTATTATTTCTTGTTTTTTCTTTGGTTTTTGTGTGAGTGTTTGCTACGAATTACTCATTACTTCTTTACATATATATTATTCCTTGTATTTTTTTTTTATATACACAGCTAGCATATTATGTTTATATATATATATGAATATTTATTACAAATTTCTATTTTTTACCTATATAAATAGTATGCAAAAACACTGTTGTAAGTAGAAAACTGAACTTTAGTTTTAACTTAATAGTAAACAATTTTTTTGAGTAAAAAACATATTTTTTTAAATACAAGTTTTATAGAAAATAGTATTATATACTAAGAAATATGAAAATAATCTCGCAACAAATATTATTATTTACAAGCGTATGTAAAATGATAACGGTTTATTTCACATATGATTATGTTCTGAAGTTTGATCCTTTTCTTCTTCTTGAATGCATGCAATTTGGCAGCGTGAAAGAAGGGGAGCGTGAGCATATAAATTTAAATGAAAAAAATGTATATATTTTTTTTCTATATTCGAAAAAATGTTAAATTGTAAATACTTATAATTGCCAATTATTAAATTTTGAAAAAAGAAATTATTTAAATTTTTTTTCGAAATTTTTTTCGATTTTTTTTCAAATTTTTCAAAATATTTAATGACAAAATTTTATTTCTGAAATATTGCTGAAACTAAATAATTATTTACTAAACTCTTTTTGGCTGCTTTTATACTTCAAAATAAATAAATAGATTTTTTTAGAAACTATTCTGGTTTTAAAACTTTTATAATTTGTGTAGTTTTTAAATTTTTTTTGTCTTTCAATTCTTGAATTTCATGCTTTGTTTTAAGTTTTTTTTTAATTTTGTTGGTTTTGAAATTGTTGTGCTTTTTAACAAAAAAAAAAAAAAAAATAAAAATTGAAAAATATTGTCATTTATTTCACTTAAATATGTTTCGAAAATTTTCTAAGAGTTTGAAAAATTTTTGTAAATAAATTACTTGCACTTGCTACATTGAAATTTTCAATGGCAAAGCTGTTAATATTCTTTATATATGACTTTTTTAAATTTTCAGGTTTTGAAACTTTTAAAAAAAATTTTAACTGAATTAAAAAAAAAAAAAATTTTCCTAATTTAAAGAAATTAAGTAAATTATTTAGTTGCTATTGCTAGATTGAATTTTTCAAAGGGAAAGGTGTTAATATTCTTCAAACTCAATACATATTTTATTCAAATTAAAATTTTTGAATAAAAAATAAAATTAGCTTTAGAGTTTTTAAAAAAGTTTCCTTCTTCAAATTATTTAAAAACTCAAAATAGTAAAATTTGAACGAAAAAATTACGCTTTATATACAAATTTTAGTTTTTTTTTTAAAACAGAAACACTTTATTTTTGAAAAAAATCCTTCAAATTATTTAAAATTCCAAAATAATGTACGGTAGTTTTGAAAATTTGGAACAAAAATAATTATACTTTATTTACAAAGGTAAAGATTTAAAAATATTTATTATTTTTGAAATACTTAATTTTTTAAAAACTCTTACGTTCAAATTATTTCAAATCTTCTAAATTTTGAAAATTTTTATAAAAAATATTTGCGTTTTATTTGAAAAATTTTAGAGTCCTGAAAATTTGTATGAAAATTTAGATTTTTTTGTTTTCGAAATTATTACCTTTTTGAATATTTACTTGATAACTTCAAACTGATTTAAATATTAAAAAATTTTAAAATTTTGTGAAGTTGAGGTTTTTTTTTAATTTTTTTCGAAATATCTTATCTCCAGAAAAACAAAAAAACAAAAAAATTCTGACACTAAATCGTTTGAAGTTCTCAAAGTTATTTAAAATTAGAAAATTACCGAAAAAATATCTGAATTTTGTTAAAACAAACTTTTGAAAAAATTTTGTACTAGTTTTGAAAATACCATAAACAACTCGAGGTTCTTGTGATTTTTTTTTAATAAGTTAAAGCAAAAGTTTTGAATTTTAAAAAATATTTTAGTTTACTGATTTTTTCTTTGAAAAATTAATTTTTTTTCTTCAATTGGAACGTTTTGAATTTGAATTGGTTACAATTTTTCAATAAACAATGCCCACACTTCCGGCTTCGTGCTGCCTTTTACCTGCATTCGCTAACATCATTTTTTATTTTATTATTATTTTTATTGTAACTATTATTTTTTGGTTGACTAGTGCGCTGGTTTTAGTGAAAATGCGATTTTCAGCGCGATTATTTAACGCTGAGCTGCAAAATTCATTATTTTTTTGCTGACTTCTATATAGTATGTACATACATACATACAAACATATATTGCATGCATGTAATTGCGGGGGATAACGAGGATACTTTTTGAAATCTATATATATATATATATATATATATACATATACATGTACATGCAGCCATACGAATGCTGCAGCAACTGCTTGCCTAATTACAATACATACATACTATTTAATATATTTGGTTGTGTGACCCGATTGTGCATTGATGTCTACAATGTAAATTACATAATATACAATTAAAATTAAATAAATAAATAAATAAATGTTTTTTATTTTGTTTTGTTTTGTTTTTCTTTTATTTCACACTTCCTAATTTAACCGCTAAATTTCATTCAAGCGTGCTTGAATGTATTTCTCTTTGTGTGTGTGTGTGTGTATGCATTTATTTATTTTTTATCTCTTTTATTTTCAAAATTAATTCAGTCTTTGGTATTATCACAACATTTGTTTATACGATTTGGGGTTTTATTTGCGTTCGATGCAAAAAAAAATTAAAAAAAGTAATTAAAATTCAAAAAGAACAGCAACGGTAAAAAAATATATGTGTAATAAAATGTAGTTAATAAATAAATAGAAATGTTTAACAGAAGCAATTTTTGTTATTAAACTTTGTTTTCTTCCGTGGCGGCCTTTTTGCATCGAAAATGCGGCACTGAATCCGAGTTATGCAGAAAAATGCGTATTTTGCACTCAAAGTGATTCTGGAGTTATTTTTTTACTTAAATATCTCATGCTATTTTAATTTTTCTCACATGAATTTTTTAATCTTCATGCACTTTTTGTTGTTTTTTTTTTTTGCATTTTTTTTTTGCATTTCATACCTCAATTTTCACACATAACCCTTCTACGCAAACACACTTTTTACGACACACCCAAATCGTACAACAATTGTTGTGCCACAACTTCACTGCGCTCCTCCACCAACTGTCCGGTCATCGTATTAATGAGATTGAAGACAATGGCGAAGACAGTGAAAGCGCTGTAAACACCCAGCGCTAGCCACCAAATGAGATTCTCAAAGGGTCGATGTTCGAAATTCTTCAACACCAGCAGACCGATGGTGAAGCCCGCCAACGCACCGGTCATATGAGCCACATATGAAACTGGTGGGGGATCGTAGTTGGGCCAAACGGCTGGTGGGGGTTTCTCAACCTGCGAGTCCAGATATTGTGTGTATAATGCGTAGCCAAGATCGCAATTAACTGCAAGAGAAGAGAAGGAACGAATGGTTTGAAGATTACTAAAAGTGAAACTAAAGTGTAAGAAAAAATTTAAATAAATAAAGAAATAACAAAAATCGGAAAAAAAAGAAATTAAAAACATAGAATTTTAAATATTAAAAAATTAAAAAAGAATTAAAACCAAGCAGACTAATTAAATATTAAACCACAAGCGGTGTGTAATGTGTTTGATTATTTCCTTAACCACCAACAAATGAGGTCAAATCATATCGCAGCTGATCAGCGCAACATAATCAAACACCTTTCAACACCACGCGCACAATGGAAAAGTAAACAAATCAAATTGAGTAAATTAAAACAAACAAAAAAAAAAAACGAAAATTAACTAAAAATCTTTTCTTCTCATTATTCATCACTCACCAAATATCAACACCGCCAACAGCTGCACCGATGCAAAACGCATTTGCCGATAGTTCAGCGTCAGATTGGCCAAGTGTGCAGCCAATATTGCGTATACGCCACCACTAGCGCCGACCAAATACACCTCAGAGTCTACGACGCTGGTGCCGAGCGCACCGGCAAAGACGCCAGCACAATAAACAATCGCTATGCGTGCCGAGCCGTGCATCATCTCTAAGGGGATGCCGTAGAAGAGTTGAATGACCACATTGAAACCCAAATGAAACCAATTGGCATGCAGGAACATGTACGAGAGGAAACGCCACACTTGCAAACGACGATCTGGGCGATAGATGAATACCGAATCCGATGGTATGGGCATGTTGGCGATCAGCTGACGTGTGGTCGCCGTAGCTGGTACTGTGGCGGAGTCGTAGGCGAAAATTGCGACCTGGAAGAAAATAAGAAGAAGAGAGAAAAAATTATTTAGTTATTCATTGTGGATTTGTATTTCTTAATTTTACATAATTTTCTATATAATAAGTATGAGTACAAAAATTTCGGAACCAAGTAAAAACACTAATTTTCATTTTAAGATTTTAAAATTAAAAAAAATATTTGCTGAAATTTTCGTCAACAATCCCGAAATTTCGGGATCCCGTTTTGAAAATCCTAAAATCAAGAGACACAAAATATCGCACTTTTTCATTTCTATACTAATTGGAGGAAATTTCCACCATAGTCATACATTTTTCATATTTGACTTTTTTATAATAACTTTTCGGGACACCGAAAGCTGTAAATGTTATATTTTTTTCTATTTTGTAAAAAGTTTAGTTTCACTTGCGTTAGTTTCAACATAATTCGGCAAGAAAGATGCCAAATAAGAGTTCTCTCATTGCTGCATAGTTTTTGGAAAATTTCACCTTGCTGCTGATTAAAATGTCAGCAAAAAGTCAGCTTATTTTAACAACAACAGCGTAAGCGAAAAAGCTTGTCAGGTATTTAATGTTGGTTGTACAGGGGAGCTCAGAAATTCATTTGGCTTTGCACGAAAAATCATATTAATTTTCTTAGCTCTTTTTTGACAAGTTTTAGAAAATGTTTGGGAATGTTTTCATGTATTTAAAATGAGAGAAAAAAGTTGCAAAGCTGAATTTGAAAAGAAAAAGAACAAAAATGAAGAAGTGAAATATTTAAACTAAAAAAGTATATATGTATTAATGAAAATTGAAATTGAGAAATTAAAAATATTTCAAAAGTAATAACGGTAAGTTTTAGGTTAAATAAAAATATTTGCTTTTAAAAATTTTAAATTTCAAAGCCAAAATACAAACTTTTTTTTGGCGAAAAAGTTAAAAATGTAATAAATGTTATTAGCAGAAAAACTTTTCAAAATATAAAAATTTCTCGAAATAAACATTTAACTACATTTAAATATTAAAATTAAAAATAAAAAACGACCGAAAATTTTATTTGTAATAAATTAAAAAAAAAATAAAATTTTAATCAATTGTTTTATTCGGAGAAATTTAAGCAAATTTATCTTTTTGATCCGAAAAACATGAAACAAGTTTCTATAATTTAAAATAAAGAGAAACAATTTAAAATAGTCCAAAAAACTAAAAAAATAAGTGGTGATAAAAAAATTAAACTTTTTTTTCGATTAAAATTATGTTTGAAAATTTTTTAGAAAATAAAGGAGAAATAATATGCAAAGGCAAATAAACACACGGTAGTGGGAGGGATATAAAAACAAAAATCCTATGTATTTTGTCAAAAAATGTCAAAACGAAAAATTTTCAATGTATTTTGTTTGTGTTATTTGTTGAAAAAAGGAAAAAAAAAGCAATCACCTTCTAGAAATTCGCCTTGTAAAATGCCCAAAAATATGCATAAAAAAGAATTAAAAATTTTGAGAAACTTTCATTAATTTAATTTTTACTTAAATAGTATAAGCTTAAATAATGGAAAACTTTAGAAGAAAATTAAATGTATGATTTAAGAAAAAAACCAATTTTGATTGCAAAAAATTTAGGCTATAAAAGTGAATTAAAATTTTTTTCAATATAAATTTTATTTTATTTTATTAAAAACTTAAAAAATTAAAATTAATTAAATTTTTATACCGTCTTACCTAAAAAAACGTGTGTTCGAAATTTCAGCACTTTTGAAAAATAATTTTGCCAAAATTTAATTTAATTTTTTACATGCTTTTTTTAACCAGAAAAGCATTGCGCAAATGTATTGTATTTGTACCTTGCTGTTTGCTCCCAACTGAATTTTCAAAATGTAGAAAAAAAAACACGAAGAACAAGCAAACTCAATTGGCTGAGTTGATTCCTGGCAGACTGTTTTTTTTTTAACTTTTAAATAGGTTGTAAAGAAATTCTCGCAGTGAGAGCGGGAAAGAGAAGCGTAAATTGACAATTGTGGCAGCAACAATGTTAATAAAAAGGATAAACGTGTTTGTAGGCATGTAAAAAAGGTATGAAAATATGTCTGCATACACGCATACATACCTACAAACGCGTATGTATGTGAGTAGTGATTACATTTTATATGCACGTAAAAAGAGCAGTAATCAAATGAGTGCATTGTGAAGTGCCTCTACATACATATATATGTACGTATCTACATATCCACTTATTTTTACATATCTAAGCTATAAAACTGCCATAGGTTGTCGAAAAAATGTTTTATAAAATCCCTGAAAATACAAATGAGTCAAAATATACGAATTTGCGCAAGGACCTGCCGCAAAAGAAAAAAGAAATTATAATAATAAAAAATAAATAAAAAAAATTATAAAAAAATGTTTGAAAACTTGACTGCTGCCAGCGCTTAAAAACACTCACACAAACATATATGCAATTCATATGTACATACATATATGTATGTAAATTCCTAACTTTTTATGCTTCTGATTTTTACTGCCATTTGGCGCGCCCTTTCATTTAATATGGGTTTTAGAGTTACCTTTCTCTGCTTTTGCTGTTTTTATTTGATTTTATTTATTTTTTTTTTCATTTTTTTTCTGATTTTTCTAGTTAGTCTACGCCGTCATGCATGTCCGTTATCCTGCATGACTTCGATTTGGGCATATGTACATATGTACATACATATACACATGCATAGATATATGGTAGAAATCCTGCCTGACATTTGCATTGTGCTTACATACATACACACATATGTATATGAGAAATAAAAAAATTGCGAAAAAATGAACAAAAGAAAATAACCAGAAAAACCTCGCTCACTGAATTGTGAAATGAAACAAAGAAGTTTCGGAAATTCGAGTATAGCGATGGAGTAAAATGAAAAATGTTCGAGCGCATAAATTTCGCATATACAACAATAGAACAACAGCAGCAGCAACAACAACAAAGAAAAAAAATGGAAAAAATCACCCAAAATATCCGCGTGAAAAACTTGGAAGTCAGTTTTTTTTTTGCTGTCCCAAAACAACAATGCGCTCCAGTGCGTGCTTGTCCTGTGAGCACACTCAAAGTGCTACTCGCTGTCCACCGTCAATTCAATTCAATTCTCGCTTATGAAGTCACAACTTTGTCGCTGGTAAAAGTGCCAGTTAAATCCATATTTTGTAGCTGCGGTACTACGACTCTTTTATGGCCAATATTGCTAATATCGCTATGTGTGTGTGTGTGTGAGTGTGTGCGCATGTGTGTTGACTCTGTGTGTTTCGGTGGCAACCACCAGCCAACAAGGCAGACCAAATCTGACCAGACAATGTTTAATCGATTTTGGGGCGCCAACTGACTTGTGCGCCATGTTTTTTTCTCCCTGTTTTTGTTTTTGCTTTTGCTTCGTAGCTCCTTCTGTCACTGCTCCTTCCGCTGCCTAGTTCTTCGTTGCTGGTTTCTTCCTTACCAATAACTTCAACTAACAAAGTTATTGTTGTTATTGTAACGTAAAAGTACTATTTCCGCTTTTTGTGTTGTGCCACTTACAGTTATATATATATATATGTATATGTTTATGTATGTATGTATATAGACGCCGTTGCTGGCGTGAGGCCATATTGATTTGTAGCGGTATATTGTTTGTTTGTTTGCATGCAGATATATGTATGTAATGGTGTATGTTCAACGTTCGTACTAGTGCCTTTTTGTGTTCTCTCAAGTGTCTATATTTATTTTTACTATGTAAAAAGTAGTTGATTTGTGGAAAAAATGTTGCGTTTTCGGCAGCAAAAATGGAAATATTTGATTTTGAGAAAAAAATAAATAAAAAAATCTAAAACCAAAATGTAATGGATTTTTCAATTAATTTTTAATTTTTCAATAGATTTTTGTTTGGGATCCTGTAAATTTTAGTGAAAATTATGCTTAAAATATTTAAAAAAAATATTAAAAAAAAATTTAAAAAAAAAATTTAAAAAAAAAATATTCAAAGCTCAAAAAATTACACCGCAAATGCTAAAAAAATGATATAAGTTCAAATTATTGTTATAATTGATACCCATATGTGGCATACATACATATATAATTTTTTTTTGTTGTAAACTTTTTTTCTAAAGCGTGCATAAGAGGATTTGAAAACGATTTACTGCTTTCGAAATAAAGCCATAGTTATTTTTACTTTATATTAAATATTATGTTTAAATAAATGAAAAAAAAAAAAAAAATTATAAATAATCAAAAAATTACAGAAAATTATTGAAAAGTTAAAGCGAGTTCAGTTATTATTATTTACTATTTAATAAAAAAAATTTAAAAATATTAAATATTTTAATTGAAAAAAAAATATATATATATGTATGTATTCTATAGTAAGTCATTCTCAAACTAAATGCTAATTCATACGGTATTATGCCCCCTTAGCACTCATTAGCCACATAAAATTGTCATGAAAATTAAAAAATGCGAAAAAATTAATTTTTTGGCGAAAAAAATTGGTTTCATTTATTTTCCACCCGCACAAATCATTACTTTTAGTGCAAAATATTTAACAAATTAGCAACATTTCGGCGAAATTTTTTTCTCATTTCCAACGAAACGTGAAATTTGCCTTTCAACGGTATTGGTTTGCAATTAATATGCAAATTTTCCATATAATTCTCTGTCAAAACGGGGATTTTTAATTAATACCAATCAATTAAAATATTAGGAAAATATTGTTTTTTTTTTTGTTTTGTTTTTTGTTTGATCAAGCTATGAATAATTGATTGGAATAAAGTGCGTAAAGCTGTTTTTTACAGCATTTATTGAATTTTTACGCATTCAAACAACAACAACAAGCTTGTGAGTAATTTTCATTAAATGTTAAATATTTTTGTCTGCTTGCGCTGGTGCACATATTTAATTACTTGTAATTAATTTTTCGGGAATTTCGGCGAATGAATTTTATGTTTCATTAGATTTTTGATAATGTAAAACAAAAAAAAAAAAATATATATATATATATACATAACGGAGTTTCTTTTCAATTGCTGGCAATTAGTGACAACAAAAGCGTTTTTAATTGAGCGGAAAATGTAAGAATTAATTCACGAAAAGTTATTTAATTATTTACGTGGGAATATTTTCAACTATTTATTATATATACATATTCATTTAATTTGAAATTAATGGCATAAAATTAATGGCATACTAAAAGTTAATTCCTAATAAAATTGTTGCATAAATTAAAATCTTTTTTTAATTATTTTTTTCTCAAAAAAAAAGGAAATATTTCCCCACGAGCAATAAATTGTGATTTAAATAAATTAAAAATTAATTAATTCAAAATGTGATTTACATTGAAATTTTCAAAAAATTACAATTGCAATGAAGAAAATTATTTTATATTTAAGCTGTATTAAATACTTAAATACTTTTCAAAATATTTGTTGTACTTAAATCATTTTTATATATTTTTGTCGACATTTTACTTCTGCTCAATTAAAAAAACGGATTTTTTATATAATATTTACATATTATTTTCTCAATATGTTCTTCAGTTAAAGTATTAATAGTTTAAAAAAATTTCAAAAACTGCTTTTTAACTAATTGCTGTTTTATTTTTTTCTTTTTCAGATGTTTTCGAAATATTACATTTAAAAAATTTTTTTTAGTTAAAATAGGAATTTGTCGAAATTTTTTTTTAATATCTTTCCCTTTTCTACATGCTACATTTTTTAAACTTTTAAAGGATGTTTTCGAATTAAAAAAAAAAAAAAATGTAATTAAAATGAGCGATTTCAAAAGTTTAAAAAAAATTGCTTGAAAAATAATGAAATAATTAATTATTTATTATTTTTTTAACACTTTTTCCAGTTGTTTTCAAACTATTGGATTTTCATTTTTTGCCAATTTTCCTAAATAAATAATAAAAAATAAGCTAAAATTTTTTTATAATTTTCTTTTTAACTTAATTTTTTTTAAACTAATTTTTTTTAATTAATTTTTTTTTAATCTTGTTTTTTTTTTTTAATTTTAATTTTTTTTAATTAAATTTTTTTTCTTTTAAACTCACCTCAACGATCGAGATCAGCAGCATAAACAACGGCCAATGTAGTCTGTGGTCGGATTTCAGATCACACGCTTCCGGATCCTCATTACAGGCATATTGATGCTGATGCTGCTGCTGTTGTTGTTGTTGCATCTGTTGCTGCTGCTGCATTTTGGTATGTTGTGCCTTCTCCATGTAAATATGTTCACCATGCCGCGTACAGCATGTGCTGCTCGTTGTACTGCTATCTGTATCGTAGGAGGAGGAGGAGGACGAGGAGGAGGAGGTCGACGAAGAGCAGGCGACGGCAGGGGGAGATGACGACGAAGATTTTACCTCCAATGCGATGGCTGCGGAGGCTGTGGTTGTCGTGCAGGATAATGATGGCGGCGCTGACGGCAGTGGAATGTCAATGATGGTTGCTTCAATGGCGGGCAATTTGTTCTTGTTGTTGTTGACAGCAACCACTGTGCTTGTTTTGCGTTGTTCTTGCTGCTGCTGTTGCTGCTGTTGTTGGAGTTCATTTAGTTCAACTGCGGCGAGTTGTTCGCTGGTGCGCTGTTGTTCTTGTTGCTGGTTTTGCTGCTCCTTCTGTTGCTGCTGCTGCTGCTGTTGCCATATTTGTGCCGCAAATTGCTCCATGTTTTTGCTTTTGTTTGTTTGGTTATAGTCTTTTTTGTTTGAATTTAAATTCTTCTTCTTCTCTTTTCCTTCGTTCTTTCGTCACTATTTGGTAGCGTTGAAAGCGAAAAACTGTAAATATTCGCGCTTGTGTGTGTTTGTGCTTTTCACAAATTTTCACGTGTTGTTGGCGCCAACCAGTGTTGAACAGACGTGTTTTGTTGTTGTTTTTTATATTTTTTTACAGTTGTTCTACTTGTTATCTCTTACTCGCGCGCGATTTTTTGTGTTTATCTACCAGACGTTAATCCGTAAGTTGCTTGCAGCATACACTTGTTGTTGTTTTTGTTGCGTTTATTTTTTTATTGCAACTGCAAGAAGAGAATAAAGAAAAAGAAAATTAGATTTCGCTGTTTTTCGTTTTGGGGTTAGTGTGAGAAAAAATGCTTTACTAATAAACACAATGTAAGTCTGTATATGTGTATGTATGTATTAATGTATATGTAAATTAACTGCAAACTTTTCGGCGTCAGGAGTGTGGCACTCTTGTATGTATTGTCTGACCATTTCGCTACTTCCCAAGTTACTACAAGCCATGTAGCGAGTGTTCTTTTTTAACGGTTAAATGAAGTCTCAATCACCGGCAGCTCAATTGCGCCAATCATCAATATGTATAAACATGCACTTCCTATCTACATATTTATGCATGCACTTAAGTATGTATGAGTGAGTGCAAGCGAATAAGCAATAAAACACCAAGGCTGGCAGTGTGAAGAAAATGTAGAACAAGGCAATTTCAACACTCCAAAGCACTAAATAATATTTCTTAAAAAAAAAATTAGAAATTACAGCCAAAAATTAAAAATGGAAATTTAGAACTTTAATAATATCTTCTATTCCTATTAATTATTATAATGGAGCCAAAATTACATAATTTAAAAGAATTTATTAAAATAAAATAAAATAAAATAGAATAAAATAAAATAAAATAAAATTAAAAAAAAATAAAATAAAATAAAATAAAATAAAATAAAATAAAATAAAATAAAATAAAATAAAAGAAAATAAAATAAAATAAAATAAAATAAAATAAAATAAATAAAATAAAATAAAATAAAATAAAATAAAATAAAATAAAATAAAATAAAATAAAATAAAATAAAATAAAATAAAATAAAATAAAATAAAATAAAATAAAATAAAATAAAATAAAAATAAAATAAAATAAAATAAAATAAAATAAAATAAAATAAAATAAAATAAAATAAAATAAAATAAAATAAAATAAAATAAAATAAAATAAAATAAAATAAAATAAAATAAAATAAAATAAAATAAAATAAAATAAAATAAAATAAAATAAAATAAAATAAAATAAAATAAAATAAAATAAAATAAAATAAAATAAAATAAAATAAAATAAAATAAAATAAAATAAAATAAAATAAAATAAAATAAAATAAAATAAAATAAAATAAAATAAAATAAAATAAAATAAAATAAAATAAAATAAAATAAAATAAAATAAAATAAAATAAAATAAAATAAAATAAAATAAAATAAAATAAAATAAAATAAAATAAAATAAAATAAAATAAAATAAAATAAAATAAAATAAAATAAAATAAAATAAAATAAAATAAAATAAAATAAAATAAAATAAAATAAAATAAAATAAAATAAAATAAAATAAAATAAAATAAAATAAAATAAAATAAAATAAAATAAAATAAAATAAAATAAAATAAAATAAAATAAAATAAAATAAAATAAAATAAAATAAAATAAAATAAAATAAAATAAAATAAAATAAAATAAAATAAAATAAAATAAAATAAAATAAAATAAAATAAAATAAAATAAAATAAAATAAAATAAAATAAAATAAAATAAAATAAAATAAAATAAAATAAAATAAAATAAAATAAAATAAAATAAAATAAAATAAAATAAAATAAAATAAAATAAAATAAAATAAAATAAAATAAAATAAAATAAAATAAAATAAAATAAAATAAAATAAAATAAAATAAAATAAAATAAAATAAAATAAAATAAAATAAAATAAAATAAAATAAAATAAAATAAAATAAAATAAAATAAAATAAAATAAAATAAAATAAAATAAAATAAAATAAAATAAAATAAAATAAAATAAAATAAAATAAAATAAAATAAAATAAAATAAAATAAAATAAAATAAAATAAAATAAAATAAAATAAAATAAAATAAAATAAAATAAAATAAAATAAAATAAAATAAAATAAAATAAAATAAAATAAAATAAAATAAAATAAAATAAAATAAAATAAAATAAAATAAAATANTTTTTTTTTTTTAGAAAACTCACTGGTTATAAAGTTATTAGAGCCAAAAATGCAGCATTGCAACTAACAGCAGCAGCAGCAGAAATAGAAAAACGAAGAAGAAGAAGAGCTGGTTAAAAATATTGCAAAAAAACGGTAATACTTCCATGCACTGCTCAGTGCATGCTTAGTTAATGTTGCAAATGAATTTTGTGCTTAAAAAATGAATTGCTCGCGCTTTATTTTACAGTTATTTTTTTTGTTTCTGTTATTTGTTTCGGCCACACTTGACGGCACTCACGCTATAGCGCTGCTGTATTTATGTATGTATGCGTATTTGAAATGCAGTGAAATTGATTTGATTTGATAGAAGATTTTGTGCATATCTGTGTGGCAAGCGGCGGAGCGGAGTTGTGATGAATGGATTTTTCAATTATGCACAAGAGTTTGTAAAATAAATACATATGTATGTAAATGGAATTTTTTTCTTGGAAAAAACATTTTGGAAAACAAGTCCCTTTAATAAATATAGTACTTAAAATAATTTTTAAATACAGTTTAATTTAAAAAAAAAAAAATTATATTTCAAACAAAAATTTCTTTTATATTTTGATTAAATATTTTGAAAAAAAGTTTTGCTTAATAAATAAATTTAATATCTACAGAATTAAAAAATAATTAGAAATAAACAACTAATTAATTTTACTTTAAAACTAACTGTTTTAATAAAATTATTGTTTTTAGTGTAAAATTATTTTTTGTTATAATTTTTTAAGGCTAGAAGAAATTAAATAAAAAATTGGAAGCTAAATTTGCAATAAAATTAAAAATATTTAAATTACTAAAAATATATATGTTTTTTTTTTTAATTACATATTTTTATCAAACTGGAAACAGTTAAGAGAAATATTGAAATATATTTTTTTTTATTAAACTAAACTTTACACAAATCAATTCAGATTCTAGACTTTTTTTTTTAGAAAATAAAAATTAACTCTTTTTTGAAAAATTTTCTCAATTTTTCCCTGAGTCGTTGCTTATCAGTAGCAAATGATATTTTGCGATTCCCGTGAACTTGCCACATATATGTACAACAAGCAAAAAATTGTATAACTGTAACGATAATTGAATGCACTAGCTAAAACGTAGCAAACTGAACTTATTGAATTGGCTGTTGTTGTTGCTGTTGCAACAAATTCAAATTAGCTGCACGTAGCAAATACACAACTTCCTGCTAATTATATGCGTATGTATTTATGCAACTGCATTCATACATACATACTGTACATATGTGCATGTACATATAAATTTGCAATTGTGCACAATTTGCACTCCAAATAGCATAAATGACCATTACCGCTAAGCAGTTGCACGTACATTTGCCGACGGCGGCAATAGAAAAAGCCTTTGGCCACACTCTGGGGCAGCCAGAGGAGGTGCAGCGCAGCAATCGGACCAACCAACGAACAAACAAACAAACGAACGGTTGACCGACCTAAAACGACGTGAAAGCAATACAATTTGTATTTATGCATATTTATGTAGATGCTGATTATCTTGGCCGTTGCAGCAGCGCCAGTAAATTCGAGCAAGTACATATGTATGTAACTATGTATGTAGGCCTATCAAACGCCGCTGACGCCTCACGGCTGTGAGAATTAACATTTTCATTATGTTTATTATCGAGATTATTTACATTTTCCGCACATTAACAATTTGTTTTTTATGCGAACACATACAGCCACACACACCCAACCACATGCGCGTACACACACACACACACAGATGAACATTTTCAACTGTTATCGACGGCAAAAAGCATTCATTGGCCGCTTTGTAACGCAGAAGAGTCAATAAACGCATAATGGCTAGATATGGCCAACAATAAGCGCAACCAGAACACCAACAACACGGCGTTCAGGTTGATTGGCATGCACACACAATTACACTACCGCATGTTGCAACATTGCTGTGCTCATAAATACAGCAATAATCTGGCATATGTTAGGCATTGACAATTTTGTCGAAGTTTTTGCTATCTCGGTGTGTGTACACACATACATGTGAGTGTGTTTGTGTGTGTTTGCAACCAGGAATTTGCGTGTAGGCAGCAAAAACCGCTGTCGTACGCGCACTACTCTTCTCTCCTGCGGCACTTTTGCAAATTTTTTATTACCCTCAATTGCTGTTGTTGTTGCTTCAGCATTTTATCGAATGTCAGAGCTCTCTAAGCAGGTGGGTAGGCATAAGCAAATTAATGCCATTCATATTCTGCACCTATGTATGCTTGTCTGTATGTACATATGTAAATATATATATCGCGTTGCAATTTGTGGCAAGTGTGAGAGGGTCGTGTTGCTATAGCATGACTGGAAGTTTAATGTGCAACACTTTTGATTGTGCTCATCAATTCAGCGATCAGATCGCTAGCTGTTGTCATTAAGGGCACAACATTGAATGAAGGCGAATATTAGAATTTCGATGGCAAAAAGTGTGAAAGCAAGTGAATGAAAAAAAAGAATAGCAGCGACGGCTTTTTAAACCGCTTCTGTTAATGGAAATGTCTTTCTGATCAAAAAAAAAAAAAAAAAAAAAAAATAGTTCATTAAGAAATTGGCGATAAAGAATTTGCAATAAAAAAATTAAAAATAAAATAAAAAACTGAAATGAAATAACCTAAAATAACTTGAAGCAAAACAAACTAAAATAAAGCCAATTTAAAAAATTATAAATGAAGTAAAATAAAATTTAAAAAAAATAAAAATTTAAAAAAAAAATTAGGTAAAATGAAATAAAATTAAAATAAAATTAAAAAAAAAAAATAACAAAACTTCAAACAAATAAAATAAAATAAAAAAGAACAAATTAAAAAATTAATAAAATAAAATAATATTTTACAAAAATATAAAAATGAAAATGAAATGAAATTAAATAATTTAAACCAATATTAAACAAAATATTAAAAAAAAATTAAAAATAAATAAAATAAAATTAAATTAAATAAAAAAAGGTTAAATTAAACAAAATCCAAAAATAAAACAAATTAAAAATTATAAAAATAAAA